AGGGAGCTCTCATCTGTCCAAGATAAATATCCTCATTTTGATATTGACTAAAGGAGAATGTGATTCCACTCCACACCTCAAATCATGCCAACATCCACACAGTCCAGGATTGATTGAGTTATTGAGGGTGCGTTTATTCAAATTAGAAGGGGACGCTTATTCAAACAGGGCGCTTAAGGAAATTTTCACGTTAGAAGGGGCGTTTATTCAAGAGGGGCGCTTATTCAAACAGGGCGCTTATTCGCGCGAGTACGGTACTTCTTTTTGCCCAGCTGCCGACGTCATCGTATTGATGATTTCCACTAAAATGGACTACCATGCAGGACAGACTTGCTTATACTGAATGTGCTTCAGTTCCATGAAAATGATGATTTTTTATTATTATTATTATTATTATTATTATTATTATTATTATTATTATTATTATTTATTATTATTATTATTATTATTATTATTTAGGGTTTAAATCGAGCAGGTGGGGTCGTCAAGATCCTGGGCTTAGTCGCATACAGCATTTAACATTCTTATTCATTGTTCTTCAATGTACAGTAATTTCTAAAAATGTTTAATCAAAAACTTATACACTGTACAGTTAATAAGTCCTTGGTTTAATTGGATACATAATTATAGCGAGTGGGGTAACCTTGAAAGTTTTATGCACTATCAGATAGGCTTACTCCATTATAGTTCCATAGTTTGTTAAGTACACATGTTTGACCCCATGAATGTAAATCGTACCATATTTATCCTCCAGTAGCGACATATCTATGTTTGGATCTGCCATGTAACTAATTGCTAATAGAGAAAAAATCCGTCTCTGTGATGATGGAGATCCTTTGTAGATTTCAAGTATCTTTCTCATTTCAGGAGTGCGGAACTTTTCCCGGTGTTCTGTACTCTTGGATAAGTTATGAATAACACACAAAGCACTATTCAGAAACAGTTCCATTCTCTACAATACAATGTAAAATACAGTAGTCAGATATATAAATATAATTATCGCATAATACGGTGACTATACAATAACGATAATCAGGCCCGTACGCAGGATTTTTATTGGGTGGGTGCGAATTAATGGAAAGTGGACCAAAATTGGGGGTGGGCGTGGGGGTTTTAGGACAGCCTTTTTGAGGTCGCTTAGACATTCTTGATGTTTGAGGTTAATAGATTTTGAAAATACAGTATGAACAATAGTAAACTTTTTTTTTTCGGTGGCAGTCCAGGAAATGAGGAGGCATGGAGAGACCTTTAGAGATGGAGGAAAATTTTTAATTATGGCACCCCTAAGCAGCCGAAAATGCCACTCTAAAACTCTAAAAATTTGAATACAATTTTTTTTTTTTCCCATTTTGGGGGAGGGCCCAGGCTGGCTGCCCCCACTTCCTGAATCCGCCACTGGTTTTGAGAGCAAACATTTTTCAGTGTTTATATTTTCAAGTGTTTTCTGTAATCTATCAAAAATTTTTATCGGCCTGACGCCCGGCCTTACGATAGCAACTTTAATAAGGAGACTGGTGTATACAAAAATAAATAAATCTAATTAAAAAAACATTGTGGAAGTGTCATTAATTATACTACGGGTTAACGTTAATTAATACGATTAAATTTAAAGAATCGTAAATAAATTGAGGTCGGAGTAAAATAAATCCCTACAGATTGGACATACATAGCCTATATATGTGAAAAGTGCCACTTTTAACGACGACATGTTTTTCCTAGTATGTTGACATACCGGTTTTTACCTAAATGTCAGTTTGGGCATTTTTACCGGGGCCATTCTTACCGTACACTGTTTTTCACTGCATGCATACCGGTATGTCAACATACTATGTAAAATTATAGCGCAAGGTATGTAAAATATTAATATAAAAAAAAAAACATAGCAGAAATTATGTACTGTAGGTCTATAGTGCACAATTTTAAAAAAACCCTATAATATTATTCAGCTAGAAAATACTAAATTTTTACCATATAGGCCCTAAGCATATGTAAATGTTATATTATAAACTAGAAATTGCAAATTGCAAGTGAAGTGCTGCGAAGTACAACTGCATATAAATGTTCTTCGAACAAAATTATTTATGCGAGTCAAAGTGAAAATAATTAATAACAAATAATATGAGACACGACCCATTGTCTATATTAGAACACTTCTCATTGGGTAACAAAGTCGTAATTTTTCATTTTTGTCAACTATAGTGGTGAATTACGATTTAGGTTTTTTTAATAAAGTTTTAAAAATTTCTATGTATGTGGAAAATGTAGTTGATTACCAAAGGTTACAATTTTTATTTTGAAGACCGCATGGTCTAGGAAGTGTACATTTTTTTATGGGGCAAGTTTCCAAGGGCGGGTTTTCTAGGGGCGAGTTGCCTGCCAAAGAGTGTTGCCAAAGTGCGAGCCAGCGTGTTATTTGATCACAAGTGCGAGACATCGCAGGTGTGAGCCAGCGAGCCATGACGTCACGACAATAGATACGAGGCGTTACTCGAGTTGTGCGAGGTATCGGCTGAGATTTGTGGCGTACAATACAAAAAACAACTATAGGTCTAATAATGAATTATTGTGATGTTAAATAGACAATGTTAGCTATCAAGGAGCGACGTTGTTTTTCATTGGGACCTTCGTCCCTTCAATGCTAGGCCTATACCATCCTAGCTAGTCTAGGCCTAGAATAGGATAAGGCTAGCGCGACATGCGGACGTTGGTATGTGTTGGTTAGTCTACAAACGTCGCATAAAGTAATTGATTTTACCCGGCAGAACGAAAGAAGGAAACTCAGCTTGTCAGTCGTCTTAGGCCCTTGTTTTTTGAAAAACAATGACCTTTCAGAGGTCAAATTGCTGTCAAGAATATGAATTGAATATGTATAAATGGAATGGAAATTGTGAAAATAAATAAATAACTACAAGCGCTTTATGTCGTGGATGAGATGGGTAGACGTAAAAGAGAATAAAATAATTCTATACTGACCTGATTGTGGGAACAGGGTAAGGCAATCCCTTTGTTGTTGTTTTGAAGCGAATACGTCTACCACTCTACCGGACCAGGGAGGGACTTTAAGATATGGCCGTGGTGGATTCAGGAATTCGAAATAGAGGGTCCAGGGAGGGACTTTCACAAAAATAGAGGCATCCACCTCGGCCGGCCCCACCATTGTCGGGGTTGAGGAAAAGAAAATTATGATTATGGCACCTATGGCCGGAAATTAAGCTCTCATGATTAAATTTGATCATAAATTACTATACAGTATGTGTTTTTTTTCTCCATCTTCTTTATAAATTTCAAAAATGTATAGAGCATGGGTCGGATCGCCCCCCTTTCCCCTTGAATCAACCACTGGGGGTCTATAACACCTCAGCCCCAAGCATGATGGGGCTGGGGGTAAGAAAATGTATTATGGCACTTCTAGATGGCAGGAAATGGCACTCGTAGACTTAAAGTCAGGCTCCGGAGGAAAAAAAAATTTTGATATGTTGTAGAACTGATTTTTCTAAGACAGAAAAAAGTTGTTTGACGAAAAACTGAGCAACGGTGAATGAGATACAGATTTTTGAATATTTAAAAACTGGAGGAAAAAGGTGTAAAAATGGGTGGTTACGCCCCTTTTTCCCCCAGTTTTTAAATATTCAAAAATCTGTAGCTCGTTGACCGTTCCCCAGTTTTTCGTCAAACAACTTTTTTCTGTCTTGGAAAAATCAGTTCTACAACATATCAAAACAATTTTTTCCTCCGGAGTCTGACTTTAAACAAGAATAAATATCATTCTAATGAAACCTATAGAAAGAGAAAAGATGAGTTTTGTACGTGGCAAGTTATTGCCAAGCAAGCGGCGTGGGAAAAACACTAAAATTCCTCAAAAAACTTATAAATACAGTTAAAAGTCCTTGCTTGTTATAACAAGTTAGAGGCAGTGCCTAGTTGGAAACTGCTCTGGTTGTTAAAGGAGTTTTGGTGGATATTTCTGGAAGGTGTGAAAGTATGTCTTGAATTTCTACCCCGGGAAAATGTGGACCTTTGGTCGCACCCCTGCATAGGCCTACGGTACGGGCCTGTGATAATAGTAGTTAATTATACTTTTTGTTCTTTGAAGGCCAAGTGTTGTTACGTCGCAGCCTTGTTCCTACCAATTCTTTCACAACCATAGCACCATTACCCTACACGAAAATCTTATGGCCTTTTTAGAACTAAATCGACTTGGCTCTATAAGTATGAACTAGTGAATAGACTCGAAAAAAAAAATTAAAATACATAACATCCATACACATTAGTTCACACATCATTATTAATACATGTTGATAAATTCAAAATCATCTAACAAATACAGTATATTCACGGAAGATGTTATTATGAAAGATAGCATGATACACTTGAAATTTAACACTAAAGTGTTTTCAATGCTGTACTTAACGGTGTACGGTAAGAATGGCCCCGGAAAAAATGGCCCAGGAAAAAATGGCCCTGGTAAAAATGGCCCCGGTGAAAATGGCCCCAATAATAAAATTCTGTATTAAAACTGATTTTAAAAAAAATCATTATATGCATTTTTTTAACTGAAATAATTTAGTTTTTATAAAGGAATCTAACATAAAATAAATTGCCATTTACATTTTACTTTTTGCAGGAATTAAATATTCGATGATAAAATATTCAAGATAAAAAAAAAGCCATGAATAACACTTATTTTTTTTTTCCATTTAAATGTTTAAAAATAGCAACAACATAATCAATAAATCAACATAAATCATGTATTTATTAATACTAAAATAATTTATTTGTGGCCAATTTCACGGAAGTGAAATCACAATTTTCCAGAAATTCAATCCGGATATTGGTAAACCCCACAAACAATGAGTTTATATGAAAATCAAATTATTATTTTTTTTTAGAAATAAGAGAGTTCTACAATCATACTTAAAGGGTCTGGATGGGGTTTGCAGTGTGTTTGGAAGTTTGTGGTGTATTTGCAATTTTAACCAAAAAATAGGTTCTTATGAATATTTAATTTTCTTATTGATATACTAAGTGAGTCAATCAAAATTGAATTGTTTGGTTTCCTACAGTGTATTTTGGGAGGTTTGTGGGATTTAGAAATACCATTTAATCCTACCATAATTACCCTACCCTCACAATTACACACCATTTTAATTCTTAGCATAATTGCCATATTTACATGTATATATAGTATCTCAGTTCACATTATCTAGTATAGTTTTAGGCACTTAAATTTAGTTGGCGGGGAGTAAAAACCAAGTATGCAATTAAATAAATTGCTTAAATAAATGTAGGCCTATTCCTAATTATTCAGTTTACTTTAAAAACAATATTTGATTAACAAAGAATTAACTCTAAGCAGAACATTTATTGCTAAGTTTGTGAGAAAGTAGGCCTAAGCCTCTCCCTTTTCCCATACATGAACTTGTGATTCAAACACACAATTGATTCACATGCTTTAACTACTGTTTATTTGCACTGTTTATAACATGTAAAGTTATTTCATTTGATACTTAACAAAAGCAAATTTTGTGGTTATCTATGAGTTGCATATTTTGGTAGTTAGTACTGTATGTATGTATGTCATTCCTCTAATTTGTTAGTGGAATAACGATTTTAAAACTTATTTCTACTATCAAAAAATGTTATACAATGGTCATTGTTTTCCGATAATCTCTCAGTACATTATTTGCATCTGTTGTGTAACTGTATTTGTTATTGATTCAATTCTTGCTTTTTACAGCTAGTATTTAAATATTTGAAGATTTTTTAAAAAAAAATATCATTTCTATTACTGAATTTTTTCATTGGGGCCATTTTTTCCGGGGCCATTTTTTGCTGGGCCATTTCTTCCGAGGCCATTTTTACCTACATTCATTGTCATAATGGTTATGGTCAATGGTTGTCCACTTGTATAGCACATATAAAATTTGTCTATATGCACTTTCCATCCAGGCCAAAAGAAAAGAAGAAAACCAAAATGGTTGAAACGTAAAAGAAAGCGGAAGGGAAAAACACAAATAAAGGAACTTATTGTCATTTGACCGAAAGGTCCACTGATTTATCTGATAGTGAACTGATAAGATAGTATAATCATGGAGGAATTATCTTATTGTCCTTTGCGTGCATTGATTCGAGCATAATTAGCGCACGGCACACCTCACATCTAATCGCCTCTTAAACTCTGAACTTTGACTATGGGCCTACCTCTGTGGTTGTTTGGTCATCTTCCCAAACTATCTCCGGTAACGATGTGCTAGTTATTCGCGAGAGTTCTGGAAATAGGCTGTCCATAGTTGCCATCGCTGATGCGAGTTCCCTGTTAGAAATAGGTTCTATGAATTAATATGAGTAAATCATGAGGCCTGGATTTTTTCTCTCCTCTATGGTCCATGATGAATAATAATCAACTAATCGATCAATGATGTTATTACAACAAACGCCTCAATGATTTTCAATAAAAACGATTATTATTATTATTGTATTATTATTTATGTACTAGACAGCTTAATTAACTTCATACAATTGTGTAAGTATGTGTATGTATGTACAAGTAGGTGTACATG